GGAACAGGAACATAAGGTAAAACGGGAAAATAAGGTATTCTATGTTGTAAAAACACTCCGACTGGTGCAGTGTGTAGGCGGGGCTTCAACTTCACATCAGATTCCCAAAAATACAACATGGCCGCTACAAGATACAGGAAGGTTTTCATGGCTTCTCTTTGAATCAAGTAGGCAGAGATGCTTGTCTATATGGGACTGCACATGCTCAGTACAAAGTAAACAAACTCCCAAGTTCACAGAACCCTTACATGCACCTATCTCAGCCTCCACACACATTAACAAAACACTACTTATTTCCTTGCTGTTTTGCTCAGTGATGATTTGTAGTGAAGAGAATTTAAATAATGTAGATTTTGGCATCTGCCCATGTGCGTGGAAACTCGGTTTGCCTCGATCCATGCACACACACACAGCCAAGTAAGCAATCCAACTGCAAATGTGCATGAGACACAAAACAAAGGCTTGTTTTGTGCACCATGTACACAGCTATAAGTGGTGGATTATATGTCTTTCCTGTCAACCTGGTAAAATAGAACTTTACCTTCTACTGCATTTTCCTCTACCCACTTTGTTCTCCTCCTGCCGCCTGTTCTTAGCTGAGCTCAGCAGTCAGCCACATCCCTTAGGGATGTATTGATGTTAGAAGAGTAGGTTTAACAACTAGCTGAGGAGGGGAAATGAGAAAGTCGAGAAGGTAAAACTGAGCTAGAGGGAGAGAGGTCAGGAAAGATGGAGGATCAGATGTTGAGTAAAGAAGACAGAGGACGATGAGCCGTTATATTCCAGGAATGAAACTTCTACAGGGTGATAAGATGATGAAACAGAAAAATATATGTAAGGTGGGAAATAAAATGTAGGAAGTATTAATAAAATGGTCACACTGCTTGTGATAGAGTGTATTATATATTTTAGGGCTGCACAATATATCGAAAAATTATCGTCATCGCGATAACAGGACGTGCGATAGGCCCATCGCAAAGCACGGTCAAAAACGGCGATAAATGTTTGGTTTCAAACGTTTCCATCCGTGTCATACATCAACTTTTTGTAAACCAGCTCTGTTTTTTACGCGGAAGTATTATTTGACCAATCAAATGTAGCCCTTCTGATTTGCGGCCAATCAGATGTTCCGTTCACGTAATACGCCCGCCCCCTACGTAGACCCTTACCCCAAAATTCCACTATCTCCGCTCCGCCCCCGCTTTCCGCTGCCGCTCGTTTCCCTTGTTCGTCATTGCTGGCTCAGAGCAACGAACGCACTTTGTGCTGAGGTTTCTGGAATCAGCGCTGCTTTCAACGTGAACTTGAGTCCGCTCGGTGTCGTAAGCAGCTGATAATACCGGATTGACTCCGACACGTGCCGGTGAACCAACCCACCGCTAGCCCAGGCTCCGGTTAGCTTCCAGCTTAAAGGCTACAGCACTCTCCTCCCAGTCCACCCTGCTAAAGAGGGCCTGGAAAAGTTCCCCCACACATCAGAGTGATTTTTCATTTATGAGCTTTTATAACCTTGTTAATCAGGATAGTTGATTTGCTGCTGCACATATACTGTCAGTCAGAAGCTCTGCTAGCCGGTTATCTTAGAGGAGCTAGTTCAATTTGTTAGCTTGTTATCAGAATCATAGTTGCAGTTTCATCATCTGAGCTGCTTTTTAAGATCTAGGTAAACTTGTTCAATTTGGGGTTAAAACCAAACGTTTTCACATATTTTCCATGTAGTTTTTTTTTTTGCCAGTTCCTCTTCTGAAAGGTAGACAATTGTTTTTCTCTTTCTCTCAGAAAATCTTAATATTCTCCTAGTTTGGCCCAGCACAGTTCACTTCCCAATTACAGCAACAGCCTTATATCATAACCACATAAGTGGAGAAAATGTTCAGTAGCAATGAGAGGATTTGCTTTTGCATTTAAGTGATGTTAACTATTATTTAACATTTAAACTTATTTTTTGATATTTTTATTTATTCAGAAAACCCTGGTAAGGGATGTTTTTCTGTATTTGGAGCATCAGAAAAGGTTTTATGGTAGAGGTGATGTTTTAAAGTCACTGAGAAACTGCATGCATGCAGTTTGTTGTTTTGCTGCTAATACAGTAGCAGGTGCAGCTGCTAATACAGTAGCAGGTGCAGCTGCTAATACAGTAGCGGGTGCAGCTGCTAATGCAGTAGCGGGTGCAGCTGCCAATACGGTAGCGGGTGCAGCTGCTAATACAGTAGCGGGTGCAGCTGCTATACGGTAGCGGGTGCAGCTGCTAATACAGTAGCGGGTGCAGCTGCTAATACGGTAGCGGGTGCAGCTGCTAATACGGTAGCAGGTGCAGCTGCTAATACAGTAGCAGGTGCAGCTGCTACTACAGTAGCAGGTGCAGCTGCTAATACAGTAGCAGGTGCAGCTGCTAATACAGTAGCAGGTGCAGCTGCTAATACAGTAGCAGGTACAGCTGCTAATGCAGTAGCAGGTGCAGCTGCATATTTTTGCAATAAAATGTTATGTTGTAATGGAATTCATGCATTAGATTTTGTTTGCTTTGAACCCAGAGCAGACGTCACACGCCAGACGACATCAACACTGCATACTTTAGTATTTGTTCATTTATCGCGAGTAATATCGATATCGCAATATTAAGCACTGTTATCGAATATCGCAGGTTTTCCTAATATCGTGCAGCCCTAATATACATTTTTTTATTATTGCAAAGCAAAACAAATCTCAAACGAATGAGCTTATAGAAAATGTTTTCAGCACAAGGCCAAACAAAGCTGAATGAAGTTCTGGAGAACAAAGCGAACGGACATTCTCCGTTTTCTCAGAAAAATAAAAACTCCTCCAGAGCAGCAACTCTGGGTTCAAGAACCTGACTCAAATCAGAACCGGTTTTTACTTAAAAGGGTTCTAAAAATAGAACATCTGAAACTTTGTTGGGGCTCAAAAGGTCCCAGGAGCCCAGAGAAATGCTTAAACACAACCCCATAATACAGCCCTTCACTGGAAAGGCTGCTTTGCCCCACCCACCCACCAGGGACTTGATTTTTAATTGAGCTGCATGCTGATTGGCTGCTTTAACCTAATGGCTCTATTTGTGATGATTTTCTTACCTTCACAGATGCAGGAGCATACTAAACACTGTTTCCAGATTCACGTGTTACAGTAAAGACACAGCATCATGGACCAGGCTGCAGCTCAAGGGTCTTCTGGCAGTTTTCCAAACTACAGAACAAAGAAGGAGACGAGAACAGAAAAGCATTCATCAACAAACGTTACAGTTTCGTTACACAGACTCTTAATTTAAACATGGTTGACTTACAGGCCAGGAAGTTGTTCTCCATCATCGACTGAGTACAGAAGCAGTCTAATTATCATGAAACTCTTTGTCTTAAACCAAGTGTGCCAAGTTGGGAGCTGTAGTCTCACAGACTGATCCTCCCACACAGGAAATACTCCCTCACAGCCTGTTGCTACTGGATATCAATGACCTGAACAACCCCAGCCATCTATCCAAACTTATCCCGTCTTTCTCCTTCCTCTACTCCTTCTTTCATTCTTTTACTCTTTACATTGTAGTCCATTCTCCCCACTTTCTCTACACTTTTATCTCTTATATCCATGCTTCAGTTAATCCCTCTATCCTTCCCTCCGATTTGCCTTTTTCTTCTTGGGAGGATAGAGGACATGGCTGGAACAAAGGCTGCTTCTATACTAGCTGAGCAAGCAGGATAGAGAGAAGGAGGGAGGGGGAGGAGGATCAAAACGAGACGAGGGGGGCAAGAACGAGGGCAAAGTGTAAGGTGGATGGGAGGATAGGTCGGGAGTGAGGAGGAAACAGAGACAACTGTAGGAGTGATGGAAGAAAACAGGTGGAAGTAAAGTAAAAAGGAGGATGATGGGAGAGGACGAAGATGAACACAAAAACGATTTAAGTAATAGCACTCTCAAATTAAGAGTGTGGTGTCATCACACGGTCCGTTAGGAATGAAACTTTTACAAGAAAAGCAAAAATGCTTACAGTCCGTTTTCAACTATCAACCCAAACCCCGTCTAAATGCATTTACTGAGTCTAATTCAGAAATGAAAAACAAAAGAATCTTATTTCTGTGACCCGGAAGTTGTCGGTGTCTCGGACCACACCTTACACCTTGTACCCTAACCTCAGCATCGTCGCCACGCATTCCCATCTAAAGACCATTCTTTGTTCCAAAGTCAGTACAAAACGCTGTCGCGATTTCACTTCAAGACTTTCCATTCATTCTGTTTTCCATAAAAAGATCCAAATATGCATGCAAAATTTTTTTTTTCCAGAACTGCGCTGCTCTGGGTGGCTGCATGTTGGAGTAGCTCTATTGACTATATGTAAGTTTTGCCTTTTTTAGGAATTTTTTATTCTAGTTTCTCAAGAAAAACTGTATTTTTTGGACACTTTGCTTTTCTGTTTCTGGTGCTGTGAAGCTTGGAGGATTTTTACTGCTATTTTTTAGCTTTTTTCACTTTTTGAGCATTTGTTATGATGCGTAACCATGGCAACAAGCTGGTTTACAATCAGGAGCAGCCAATTAACATGAAAAAGGCTGAAATAATACCTCAACTGAAGCCACAAATCCCAAATGAGCTAAAACACAAGAAGCGTGGGTGCAGAGCGGGAGCTAAACGGAGACAGAGAAAGAGGAAATTCAAACCATCTCTCCCATCGATCATAATGGGCAATGTGAGATCACTGGCCAACAAGATGGAGGAACTCCAAGCCCTTTCAAGGACTCAGCCAGAGTTTCTGCAGTTTTGGAACCGCTGGAGGAGAAAATGCAGAGATGGATTCTCCAGAGAATCAAGAAAATGATGGACAACCCTGAGCATTCTCTTCACAAGACTGTCCGACAACGGAAGAGTGTCTTCAGTCAGAGGCTTCTTCAGTTTGGCTGCAACACTGACCGCTACTGGAGATCCTTCCTGCCAACAGCCATTGTAATATACAACAACTCTTTGATGACCTGATTATTATTATTATTATTCTGAGCTACTACAGCAATCAGTTTCCCTCTGGGATTAATAAAGTGTTTTTGAATTGAATTGAATTGAATTGAAATACGTGTCTGTGAAGAATCTTAGAAAAGATCAAGCATGAAGACCGTGGTAATGCGTTTTATTCATAGTGATATTCAACTTTTTTATATTAGCCTTTTATGAGTTGGCCAACCAAGAACTATCCCTGTAACAGGCACGCCTTTATCTTTACCACAGAGACGCTCGTTTGATGCTTGCTCTGCATTAGCTAGGTCAAACAGTTGGCCGCCTACAACGTGTGATCCGAGACACCAACGAGTACCAATTTGATTTCTGATTTAGGTTTTTTACTCTGAAATTAAATACAGTTAACTGTTCATTCTCAATCCCCTTTTGGTTTTAGGAAAACAAAAAATGGATATTGTTTGTATAAAATGGTAAACGGGAACGTTTTCTGACTTCCGCTGGACGGCAGGTACACGAACCATAAATCCTTGAGCCTACAGAATATAAAGTCTATGTCAGTAGATCTGCCAGAAGTGACAGAGTGAAGTTATTATGCGAGGACACGCCCCATCCTGAGCACAAGGACACGGCGCTCCAGGAGGTGGGCTGCTTCTCCGAGCAGACACACAACTTTTGTAACCAGTGCTGCTAAATAATGCAGATAACCAAATGACTGATTCAGTGAATTAATCATTGTCTGCTGCCTCCTCTTATTATTGATGACATTTTTAAATGTCATTCCAGCCTGAAAATGTCCAAAAAGACAAACAGCCGTGACTACAGAGCGGGAATTTTTCTTCTGATCTGCATGCGCAGCAGAATCCCGTCCAAGGATTTCATGTGAACTCACCCTGAATGTTGTTGTTGCTATTTACAGACACAGACAAGTAAACGTCTTCTATCAAACCCACTTCGATCTGCTTTATAGGCCAAACTTCTCCCACGTGTAGGCTCCGTCATCGCATCAGGATGCACAAAGATAACAAATGATAGTTTTCTTTCCCGAAGGCGAAGGGACATTCGGTCAGCGGTTAGTTCCTCGTGTGCGAGGAGACAACCAGTGCAGCCTAATGAGCCAACATCCCCTGGGTGGGAATATATTTACTCTGATTTCATCTGGATTTCTCTACAGTGTGTGCATCTTTTAATGAGGTAACTGGAGTGAAACGTCCCAGCAGCTTTTATCTACACGAGTTACGACGTGACAGAGGGGAATGATTTCAGGCTAAAAACAGAAACTGTCCATGAAAAAAAGAAAAACACAGAAAATCTCGAACTATGGCTTAGCTGAGTTAAAATTTTGTTCATGTTGTCCCTTTGACAGCAAGATGATCCTACTAACGATGCAAAATCATTTTTCATAATCATAACAGACTTATATAATTAGCTACAAGCCAGGGTTGATTCTAGGATCTGATCTTTAGAGGTCTGACCCGACCCTACCGCACGTACACTCCTCACCCCAGGTCATCTGGCTAGCTGGTTCTGGAGGTCCAGAGGTCTCAGCATGACCTCAGACAGGACAGGGCCTTGTCGGAGTAGGTGCCATATATGTTCAGGCAGCTGCTGATGACATCCCACTACATGATTGGCTGAGCACTGGGAGTGCAGGGGTTACGTTTACACTGAACATGGGTCAGGGTCATAATTTTGGCTTCCTCATAAGAAACATGGAAGACCTTTACGAATGAACTAATTGTTACATTTGTAATTGATATTTGGTCCAATAAATAAATACTCCCAGACTGCAAACAATGAGCAAATGAAATGATCCAAATACCCAAATGAATTCACCCACATGGGAAAAATAAGTTTTGTGGAGCAGTATTAAATGTGATGAAATTTCATTGAAACAAAAAATAAAACAGAGCGTACCAGGGCTAGGGTTAGGATTACCTATAACGTATATAAAACAGCCAGGCTAATATTGACAGTACAGTCTAATTTACAAATACCCTCCCCAAAAAATAAGACTGCAGGTCCCAGAATGCATTGGGACTTTCAGAGCTGTCAGAAGTTTGCAGACAGAGTATGTTGCTTCATTGAGGCAGCATATTACTGCCAGTGAATCTGAGGAGATTCATTTTGAACTTTTCACTAATGGGTTTGATTCTGAATCCAACTGTGAGCTCCAGGTTTTCAGCTACGGCATCATTCCACCTGCAGGCAGCTCAAACAAACTCCAAGTTCACAGATGCTCCTCAGCTTTTCCTGATTCCAAACCTCCATGAAGTTAAGATGTCAGGTGGTTTCATCAGAGCTACGGGGCATCAGCTCCAAGTTGTCTCTTAATGTCTTTAAAGAGGAATAATTAGATTTGGATTTTAATTGTGTAACAATCAGTATCATTGTTTTTGTTGTTGTTGTTGTTGTTATGATAGCCAGATGTAACATGTTTTTATTAGAAATAATTAGTAAAAAATCTTTAGAGAAGGATTATTAGAATGAATCTCACTTAACTTATTCACTTACTAGTAGCCTAAATGACGTGTTTTGATAACTAAATTATAAATCATAAAGACTCCTTTTATGTGTCTGTCGGTTTTTCAGGGCAGTGCCCCTCCATACCTTGGGGATCTGTTAAAAAGACATGTACCCTCAAGCTCATTGTGCTCTGCGGGAATAGGGTGTTTTCTATTTTAGCCCCGTCCCTCCAACATAAGTTACCTCTTGGCATTAAGCTGTCCATCTTTGGCTGCTTTCAAGAGTGGCTTGAAGACTCCTTTTTATCGTCTGGCGTTCACCTAACCTGTTTGGTGACTGGTTTTAATAGTATTTATTTTTTGTTTGCTTTTATTGATTTAGTTTTCTGATCCTAGTTTTACTGGTGTCTATGTTTAATTTGTGCTGTGTTCAGTGCTTACGGTTCCCCTTGAGGATGATGGAAAGCGCTATACAAATAAAAGTAGATTGATTGATTAAAGACAATCCATCCATCCAATTTTGTATAAACATTGTAATGTAAAAACTGAAAAAACTGAACTCCAAAGAAAATCTAATCAATCAATCAATCAATCAATCAATCAATCAATCATCAATCAATCAATCAATCACAATAAATTAAAAGCCAATAAAAGCCTGAAGGCAGCCAGCGCTGAGTTCAAGCGGGAGGAGGTGGAAAAGCCTAAACTCGCCGTGGTGCTGTCCGTGGTGCTGATCTTAGGAAGCAGGAGGCAGAGCTATCCACCACGCTGAAGGCGGCGGGGTCT